GCCTCACGAGCGTCCCGACGATTTCGGACAATAATCCTCGTTTGGTTTGCACGCGATTTTCGATATCGGTCGGAAATCGCGTACGTCGTGGTGTTTTCTAATGTTGTTTAACGGGCGAACGTATTGACGTGTTTTCCGCAGGTGTGGTTCAGCAATCGACGGGCGAAATGGCGACGCGAGGAGAAACTCAGGAACCAACGCAGAGGCGGCGGCGGCGGCGGCGGACTCGACCAGCAGAACGGCGGAACGCCGGCCACGCTGTCCTCGTCGTCCGCGTCCGTCAGCCCGCCGGCCGTGGCCACTTCGAACGGAGCGGGCGGAGGCGGAGGCGGCGTCGGCGGCACCGGCCACAACAACCGGCTGTCGTCCATACAGGCGGCCGGTTTCAATCACATGTACCAGTCCATCTCGCAACCGATCGCCACCATGCCCACCGACAATTACGGGTGAGTGATTTGCTATAGCCGAACGTCATAACCGGTCACCGCGAATTCCGGCAATACGGACGCGAAAAATTTGACGGTTGTAAATTTTCGTAAAAATACACGGTAAACCGTTCGATACGCGATAAACGGCGGCGATTTTGCACGTTTTGCGCCTGCGTCGAAATAATATACACAGTGGCGTAACTAGTGGCAGGGGGGAGGGGGTCGATGTGTATAATTTATCGCCGCCCCCACCCCCCCAAAAAAAACTATTTTTTTTCTACATTAAATAATCGATTAACTTTTGTTTTTTATTTTTTTTAAAACTTATCGAGCGTGACGTATGTTCTTCGTTGTTATTGTGTATAGCAAATACTCAAATCCCCCCCCCCCCCACCTCCTCCTCCCTCACCAATAAACAAGGTCCCGGTTACGCCGCTGAGTAAGCATATACTCTATCGGGTCGTGTGACGCGCATAATTTTCGAGAAAAAACAAAACACCGGTAATAACGATAACCACGCGAAATTAAAAGTCGCGATTAAACGACGTTATTCGCAGTCGCCGTGGATCGCAATCGCGTCTCTCGCCGGCGCCGCGATACGTGCGGTGAATCCCGAACCGCGATAAACCGCGATCGGCTTTCGACCCACACCCCCGATCGCTTTATACGCGATCGCGGTGTCGTCTCCGGCGGAAGACGCGAGCGCCGAAATCAGATAAGGGACAGAAAAAACAAACGGTGCGCCACGGTCGATTACGGATTTATCGTACGACAGACGCGCGTTCGTTAACGGCGCGCGTTGTCGAATTCAGTACCGTGCCGTTGGAAAACTCCGAACGTTTGTTCAACGGTTAATCGGTTATCAAAGGCGTTAAATATGTTCGGAAGCCCGGGCAAGACCGACCGAAATCGTGACGATGTCCCGTTCGCTTTCGCGGCGCGCGGCGTTGCGCTTTTCATCGGCGGTCGTCGACGGTTCGTAATACCAATTTGAACGCGCGTGTTTCCGCGTACGACGCGCGCCGTGTAAAATGGTCGGTTTCGGCGCGGACGGCGCGTCGTTATCGCCCCCCCCCCCCATCGGCGCCCG